TATTTAAAGAATGATGTACTAAATTGGTAGAATATGCATCAAAATGATTAATTAAATACACATATCATGTATATGTTTACAAGTTTCGCCGAAATTAAGATAATTCAATAGAAAGTTACTAGTTAGTATCCGTGGCCCGTATATTCATAAGGTCTGTTCGCATGAAATCCCCAAATATTTTTGCACTTAAAATGAGATAGATATATATTTGGCCTTGAAAAGAGAGAAAGCGAAGATGTCGAGTGCCAAAAGTGTAAGCAACGCGAACAGACCTTAATGCCCGTATTCATAGTCAGACCTTGTACTTAAGGCTTCCTTAAATTTATCTTTAGATGCTCAGTAGCCAATGAAATAATTCGTAGAGCATCTAAAGATAAATTTAAGGAAACCTTAAATATAAGGCCCGACTATGAATACGGGTCATAGTCACCTTGTACTTAAGGCTTCCTTAAATTTATCTTTAGATATTCAGTAGCAATGAAATAATTCGTAGAGCATCTGAAGATAAATTTAAGGAAGGCCTTAAATATAAAGCTGATTCTACATTGGTCGCATCGCAGCGTCGCAAGCGTTGTGGTCCAATCAACATCAAGCTGGCTCGACTCTGATTGGATCATAACGCTTGCGACACGCTTGCGACATTGCGATGCGACTAATGTAGAACCAGCTTAAGGCCTGACTATGAATACGGGCACGTATTAAGTGCACGATGTAAACTAGGCAAATAGGCCTGTTCTTTTTGGAACTTTTTTACCAGTTTATCTTTCTTCTTTTTCTTTCCTGCTGGAGAGAAAAGGAAGGAAGATGAACTGGTGAAAAAGTTCAGACAAAAAGAACAGGTCTAAGGGACACCTATCAACAAAGACACCTATCGTATAGGTCGCGGACTAAACGCACGGTGTAAACGTAGCCATTAGGGTGAAATCACACGGTGCGGAAAAAGATGGCGGAATAGAGAATGCGTCATTGAAGCAACCAATCAGCGCTATTTCGAATAGCGCTGAATAACGCTGATTGGTTGCTTCAATGACGCATTCCCTATTCGGCAGTCTTTTTCCGCACCGTGTGATTTCACCCTAATGGCTACGTTTACACCGTGCGTTTAGTCCGCGACCTATACGATAGGTGTCTTTGTTTAACCTACAGGATAAACAAGGACATCTATTATATACGCCGCGGCCTAAATGCACGGTGTAAATGTAGCCAGTGACTAATAGCGTTTTCGGCCCGATCGGATTTGCACCAACCTGGATTAATCTTTCCTATTGGTTGACGTTACACACTCTACCAATAGGAGAACACAAAACACCATTAATCCAACCTAGGTTGGTGCAAACCCGGTCGGTCCGGGTTGTTTATCAATTCTGTTTACAGATGATTCAAATTTTATAACGTGTTTTCAGTAGTTTTGACGCGGTAGTCGCGAGATTAATTAATTTTAGTATAGTTTTAATCAGATCAAATTATGGAGGATCATTGGATAAAATCGCTGAGAACGGAACTCGTAAACACGGATACGTCGACGCTCAAAGAATTGCTACTGTCTAAGGTGGAAATACTAGATGAAATTAAAAAAGACCAAAATCAACGATTCAATGGTAAATTTTGTTACTGAATATATGAAATAATTTAATTTGATGGGAAATAAATCTATAAGCTGTTGCATTGTTTGAAGTCCTTACAAAATTATAACATATATCGTGTTATTTATATTTCCTTTTGTACTATAATTCCTACATGTTTTTAGAGGATGAAACTAAGATTAAGGAATTAACATCAAACTTAGCTGCTATGAAAGAGACACTGCATACGGAAATTCAAACTCTGGAGAGCAAGAATAACAAATTATTAGAAGAGAATAATTATTTAGTGAGTTTAATATACTTTTATTTTTTCTACAAAGTCTGTGTATGTCTATTATTGCAGAATATTTTTTAGAAGCAAGAGCTGGAAGCAGAGAACAAGAAACTTTTACAAGAGATCAAACAATTGGAAGGAAAACATGCTAACATGAAGTCTGTTCAACCAAATGTGCGAGATCAACAATTGCTGGAGCAAGGAAAGCACGTATTATCATTACATATTAATGCAACCTTTTTTATCAATTGTCATAATTTTGTTCGTTTTGTAGGAAAAAGTTGAAATTGTATAAGGACTTAACAGGGATACACTGGGATTATGAAGCTATAAAGCACAATATTCAAGGCTGTATCCTTTTTCCAAATATTTATATACACGAAATTAGCTAATATATAAAATGTCAAGTATAATTTTTTATTTCACGCTAGCTACTTTTGCCAATAAGTAGCAGATATGCACATCCTTAATTCTTGACACAGATATCTCAAACAGACGCGACTACATTCATCACTTCTGTTATGATACTCAAGAGATTGATAAAAAGTTAATCGACTCACTGTGGCATGAAATATATTTGTCTACGAGCGAAGCTAAAGTCAGAGATGAGAATCTTCCACCAAATTAGTACAAATATTACACCTAAACGAGATTATGTAATTTTGATACTTGATTACTTTTAGAAATAGATAATATATGAAGTGTGTTATATATTGATCTAAGTGGTACAATTTCTTATATGATATTACATGATTCTGAACGAAATAAAATTTGAATCCAATTTTTGTGGTACAAGTTTATAACATTCTTATGGTGTGTAGGATTCTGAAGAATATCGAATAAGAAAAAATTAAACTTGAATTTCGAAAATTGGACTAAAATCTTATTTTGTTCAGAATTGTACCATGTTCAAAATTATATCACCTTATTCTATATGTATTTAGATATGGTTTTGCATATTTATATTAAAATCTGCAATGGTAAACACTTTTTAATTTTCATCTTTTTATTATTTTTTAAAGTTCTTTTATTATTAAAGATTCTTATTACACAATCACCTTTATATACAGTTATTAAGTTTTAGAGACCAAAAAATTAAACACACGGTTTGTATAATACAATGTGTAATGAACACAAAGGATAAATAATCCTACCATTGTAATAGTACTCATGATACAGAAAAGTACACAGCTTAAAATACTTGCGCCAATAGCCAATACTGTCCCTGAAAACAATACGCACTTGTTTAGTGTCCAGCAACAACAGCTCTGTGATCAAGAATAATGTAGCATTGCTTACCTTGAACCATCATAAAACCAATAAATACGAATACAGCACTGACGATACCAAATATAATAAATAAGAGGATAGGTGCAAGTAACGACACTATTGCAATGAAGGTAGCTACCTGCAGAAACGGATTATGGATTAACTGCTCCTTAAATTTGAGGATAAATTTACGAACGCTAGGATGTTGTAAAAACATCTGGCATTTTTTAGTCCGTTCTCCATCTGGAATTAAACATTACGCCTTCATTCTTCTTTTAAAACGATAGAATAAGTAATGTTACAAACTAGTGAAGTGATACATAATGCAGGTATACTTACAATACATGATTATTGAATCATATATACTGTCGTTTTGAGTCTGAAATAAAACAATCTGTGTTTATTCGTCTCAAATTAGCAGAAATATAAGGCAGCATAAAAAAAAGGCAATGCTGAGCGGCACTAATATTGCAGAATAACATAATTGTATAGGGAATAGACAAAATAATGTGAACATCTGAGAAATATACTATTGTCAAGATTATGAAAGTTATTTTGTAAAAGTAAGTAAACTATATAGTTACAGTTTTTTCTTGAAAAGTAATTCGTTTAGAAGTTAATTCTAAAAAATATTTTCATACTTTTTATTTAACAATAGTTATTTTTTGTAATTTTTTACACTTTTATTTTAAATACGAGAATCTTACATTTCTGATAATACTAAAATATTTTGTTAAACATTCGATCATACGCTATTTCATTTATAACAAATTAATATATATACTTATATTGGAATTAGAATTATGAGATTAATATTAAAATGCATTCACATATTAAAAGACTTTTAGTTTAATTTTTAATTTTTACGGACATTTAGGGAAAATAATTTTATTAGTAATAAAGGTGTATTTCAATCCCAATAAATAATCACAAATTTTCACTGAGTAGTTCATTTTGATCAGTCAATATGTCGAACAAGTTTAAAATATAAAAAGTAACTATTAAATTACAGTTTCATAAACGCAACTAAGTTACAGTTATGGATGGAAAAAAAGGAACAGTTATAGTTATTGAAAAAAAAACTACCTATAACTTCGTTAAAGTAACGAGGTACTTCTTGATCCTACTATTCGTTTAATTAATAACAAGTTTGCCTATTATTTGTCTTTAATGTAGATTCTATCCTTGTTGGAATAGAATTGTATATGCTTGAATAGTGTAGCAACTGCTGCAGTGCAATATATCATTTTTCTAATAGAATATATATCTTTAATTGTTTTAAAAATATATTGAAGGAAGAAATCTTTTTCATTCATCTTCAAAAAAATTACAAATAATATTTAAATCAGGCGACTGTATTGGCTAGAAAAAATGTTGAAATTTTGAAAAATAGAGAGCAATTTTGAAAAATGAGAATGAAAAAGTTATATAAAATTTTATTAATATAAATATTCAAGCATTGATCTGTAGAACACAAACTAACAATAACATTACGTCAATGTTATAATTTCCTATTCAGCAATATAAGTGTTATTTATTGCATTATGTATTATATTCGTATTGTTGTGAAGAAAATATAATTAGAGGGGTATAAAGTTTAAGGCTAGATCTAATTACAACGATGAAGTACAATCAAGGAATGGATGGATAAGTGTGGTAGAAATTTATTTGTAACTCAAATCTCTTTCTTGACTTTGTGTAGTTGAAGTGAATATATATATATATATATAAATTGATATTGTTGAGTCCAAAATTATAATATTTAATTTTTTTACTATTTATGTTCTGCAGAGAGTAATTATTTCAAGAATGTGTGAGAATCGATCAATGATGGATCAACCTCTTATTAAAACAAATAGTAGAAAAATAATATATTTCCCAAGTGTTTACATTACTTTGTCTATCCTCTGTATATTTATATAATTTACCTCTGTCATTTCCGTCAAAGTTCTTCAAAGCAGTTCTTAAGTACAGTTAAACACTTCATGCATATCATGACTTGCACAGTGCAATTCGAAATAAATAAATATATCTAGCTCTTGCATATAGCGTTTTCGAAAGGATAGATAGATGTTTATCCAAATTCAGAACTGACGTCGTTATTAAATCACACCTTATTGCATCGTATACTCACGCACCATCATGTTTATCTATTTTCTCTCCTCCTCTTATCAGCAAAAAATCAAAGTCCAGGCAGATTTGCGCAAAAGCGATACGCACAAAATCAATAAATCCATTAATTATTAACCTCAGTATTTAATTATGCGAATCTCATCGTATTTCTTATGCGATCTCTCGAGATGTACGCATTTATTTATTTATATTTTTTTCTTTACACTTGAATTTATATTTTCATGTGTACTTTACGCGGCTGAAATAAATGAGTGTTTGCATCCAAACAGAGTCGATCCCTTTATCAGGATCGAATTTCGAACTGGAGTTCGCTCGAAGATGTTTGTATATGGGACGAACTCTGCAGCGCTCCCGTAGCCCGTAGGTCTTCGTCGAAAGCTTCCGAGAGTTCCGAGCAGTTCCGAGTCAAAATGAAGACGCGCGGAGGACACGAAGGCGGAGGTTAGCGTAACGTGCACTGATGTGCACAGTGGATTGCAGTGGATTTTGACAGATCAACAACGCTAAATATGCGCGTGAAAATTACGTGCTCTGGCGGGACGTTGACGAGAGCCGAGGCTCTAACACGGAAATTGAAGTCAACAAGCTAAACGAATTCGCAAACGATGCAGTTACAGATATCGCTGGACACTCCGTTTGATGACAGGACCGCTTCGTCCTGGTCGAGGTATAATCGGCAGGACACGTCGATTTATAGGCGATCACCGATTTTCTGAACAGACGAGTCGCTGATCCATTAATTATTTACGACTTTAATTAAACTCCGATTTAACTTAATCAGCGATATATTATTAAGCACCCCTACAACACAATAGTTGCAACATTGCAGCAATATTGCTGCAAATTCTGTGCTGTAGTACCACAGCCTGTACTTATTTTGTTAATGAGTACATAATTATTAATTTTTTGTAGTTTAATTTACAAAAGAACAGATTAGAGATAACGAATCAATCAAAAAATTTACTTTAAGCAATTTGGTTAATTAAATTATTAAATCAATCAAAGTTTGTCCTCATTATTTACTTTAATTAAATTCCAATTAATCACTGATTAACGTGTCAAGCAATTCGTGTATATATTTTAACATAGTTATTAATTTATAAAAGAATAAATTAGATTACGGAGACAACTTCATTAGAAAGCTTTAAGCAATTCTATTAATTACATTAATCAAAGTTTGATCAAAGCCCTTATTAATTCTAACTCAATCAGCAATTAACTTATCAAGCAATACCTATATTTATTTTGTTAACACAAGAAGTTATTAAATTTGTAATGTTTAATTTTTAGAAGAACAGATGGTCTTCTAGAAATCTAATGATTAGACATAACAAATTGTAATTAAAATGTGCTTTAAACAATTCTGTCAATTAAATTAATCAAAATTTGGTCAAAATTATTTTTATAATTTATTATTACTATTAATATATTAATGCTATTACAAGCATTGGCAAGATTGGATTATAAGAGAAGTTTCTTTTGTTCAGGAGGGAAAGGCAGAAATGGTTCCTGTCGTTGCTATGTGGCACATGCCTGATATATGCTACGCGTACATCTGTTCCCCTGTTGATACCTGTTGTCAGTCAGGAGAAGAATTGGTCCAAGTCGGATTCAGGCATAATACTGTCGAGTTTCTTCTGGGGATATACATTGACGCAAGTAGCCAGTGGCTACATTAGCGACAAAATCGGTGGACAGAGAGTACTGTGGATATCTGCTCTCGGTTGGTCGGCAACAACCTTCCTCATGCCGGAAATTATAGAATTCTTTTCCGGAGATGGGACATCCGTTTTGCTTGTTGCAGCAGTGAGAATGATAAACGGAGCATTCCAAGGTAACTTTCAAATATTACACAGCTGTACTGCAGACGATGGAGGATAATACGACACTTGTCACTTACAGGAATGCATTTTCCTAGCATGATTAGTTTGATCAGTCAACGCTTGCACGAGGCAGAAAGAGCCTCCTTCTTTAGCTTATTAACATCAGGATCTGCTCTGGGCACTCTACTCACTGGGTCTTTAGGCTCGTATCTTCTGGAAAATTATAACTGGATGACTGTCTTTCGAGTGTTAGGTACAATGTAGTTTATGTAAATCGATGTCAAATTAATTGAAGAATCCACAGATAAATGATGATAGTTTTTGAGACATGTCATGTAAGAATAATTTAATAGTTGAACGCATCTCTTTGTTAATTTTATTTGCAAGCAGAAATGAGAAACGTTTATGGTGCTTACTAATTTACTTATGTAGGGTGCATG